CATTCATATCGGATCTCTAGTCATTACCCTGGCAGGCATGGTGCAGAGCTCGCTGAAACACAATCACGCGGGGGGATCACTCGAGTTCCTCGGTCTTGCACGACGTAACCGTTGAATCATCTCCGGGACCGCATGACGGAGTTTGAAGTTTTCCCATCGACTAGCGCTCTGAAATCATCCACTGAACTCGACAGATCAGCCTCGGTGTATTCCACGAGATTCTATTGGAAATATTCACAGCGGCTCACTAGAGCATCCGGACCCAGGCATGGCAGGCTCAGGGAGCTTTCTGGAGAGAGTTCCATGCCGTGCTTTCCTGGTCGAGTATTTATAGAAAGAGGCTCCTCCAGACTGACCGAGGAACCGAATGGATGAACGAAAGCACCCCACCCATCGCTCAATGGTTGCGCTACCCATGTACAAACGCGATCACGAGAAAAACCCGGTCGAGCCTGCTCCCTCCATCGCTCTTTTCCAGTCAAGTGTTCCGCCTCCCGCCCGTCTGTGTATGACTGTGGTCTCTCGAATGTGCTGCTCGAATCTGAACAGAGGCTCGTGGATCGCGTACGAGAGACCTTGACACAATATCGATGGAGTTTTCCGTTCATTAAATGTCCTCAAGCATCGGTGCGACGCTTCGTTGTACTCGGCGATTGGGCTTCGTCCGATTCTCGGAGCTCATCCGACGGACATGATTGAATTTCAATCAGAATGCAGGAAGCGATTGAGGGACGAGAGAGAAAATGGAACTATCGACACATTTTCGAGTTTGCTCAGTCTCCGTCATGCCCCCAAGCACACTCCGAGATCCATGCGACGAGCCCGTCGATGAGATTTAGGCGGTAACGTAGGGAGAAAACATAAGGATAAAACTTCCCGGGAAACTCTGTGCGGAACGTGTGATCTCGCCCGGGGTGGAATGAGCTCCGGAGACGATGCTTTTGAGCGAATTCAGCTTTTCCGTCATGACGACTGTCAAAGACTCTCATGACCGTCATTGTGAAGGCATTATGTTACTGCGGCGGAACACAAATATTTGGATCTCAACATTGTCCCATCATAGCGGCAGCGGCCTCCTTTTCGTTCGCATTCGAACATTTCTCGAGACAAAGATGTCAAGCAGACATCGGGATCTTGTCGTGCGCTTTTGAGACAGTCTAACGAACTCTCCAGCATCATACAATTTACAAGGCATTCTACGACCGGCGAGAAACCACAAGACTACTTATTTTCTGATCGGAGTCGCGGGAACAGGAAGGTTCGGAGGTTTCCCTCGGAAAACATCCGTTTATCAGCGTGCTCTTCAGTTCTTCGTTGTGGTATTCTATGAAAGCTCAAAATCGGTGTGCAATCGCGAGAGGCAGTACTCTGGTGTCGCTCGAGAAAATCACTGCAGAACTGCGCATAATACTCATTATTGTCACTATGCGTATAAATTCCGAAGAAATTTCTTCGGTGATTTTGCGTTTCGAAAAATCCTGAACAGGAAACGGAGGAAGGGTGATCACCTCTCGGGAGAAGCCCTTGTTATCGAACAGGCGATCGACTCCGTTCAGCAACTAGCTCAGCGGTGAAAATTACAGTCTAACTAGCACTTCTCTTAGCGGAGTATGATTATTACTTCGTTAGCGCGGGAAGACGCCTTTGATCACGTCGGCGCCACGTGACTTACGAATAGGCGATCGCTCGATCGATCGTCACGCCCAGGAACGTCAACGAAATTATTCCCGAACGCTTAGCGGTCCGGAAATTCCCTGGGGGAAGCGTCTCCCGGTGTTTTCCCAACTCATAGTCGAGCATGATATCACGAGATGGCTCTGATTTCTCTCAGAGAAAGAGTCCGGGCTTTTTGCGGGAGTGAGGTCGCTGAAGTCAGAATGCCATTTCTAATAGTGCAACGTGAGTCATCGCCGAAGAATGTTGCCAGAGAATTGTGCATGAGGGCTTCTCTCGAGCTAGGTAAGGGCGTGCAAATCACTTCTGTTCACAGCGCTCGTCCCCGACGTAAAATGTCAACGATTCCGCAATATTCGTATTTCAGCCAGTGCGGTCGCTTCCACTTATCTGCGGCTGAGTTTCGGCCGTCGTCTCGAGTGCCCGCTCCGATCGGGATCGTGCCGGAATAGCCGTCCGGCGAACAATTGTCGGTCGAGTTCAGCTGGGGCGCGACGCGTATCCAATCGATTCGGGAAGAGGTGGTTTCGGCCACATTCCTCGTGGCCGTTCTGACTGGGAGTCCTCCCTGATTTCGGTCAAGAGCGGGGTGAGATCAAGATGCATCGTTCTTTCTCCCTCCATGGAAAGATATCCCCCGGGAATACTCAATGTCGTTGAGTAGAGGCAATAGTCTGAGTCTTCCCACAGCGTAGAAGAGGTGAATGAGGGCGGGTCGAAGTGGAGCGCCAGAAGAATCTCTCCATTCGTTCCGGATAATTATCTCACCGGATTCGGTTCCAATTCGGATTCGAACCCGCGAGCACGGTAGGTGAATTTTGGCGGGGAGTATAATTTTTGGGACAATTGAGGATGGGAAAAGCGGGATCTTCCGGTAAGAAAATCAGACGGGATTCCGAGATCCGCCGCAGCATGTAGTCAACGTCAACACCGTCTCATTGGATCCAACGACGTCGAATCGCTTATCACGAGCGATGTGATGCTCACAATGAAGTTCCAGCGTCGCCGCAGTCATTGCGGATGTGATCGTTACGCCCCAGGTAAGCTTTAGCTCTTCACGGTCGCGCCAAGCGCTGCACTGTGGCCACAGTGTCAGTGAAGAAGATAGCTGAATATCAGCAGGCTTCAATTGTCAAGGCTGCCGCCGCCGCCGCCGCCGCCGCCGCCGCTTTCGCTGCTACCATGATCTGAGCCGGGGCTCTAAACGAACTCTAGGTCGAGCAGCAGGCCGCTCCCTCTGAGCGCCAAAACCTAAACCGGTCTAATCCGTCGCCCGCTCCGGAGCGACGAACTACTCAATGGACTCTGTCACTCCGCCAGCCCACGACAAAGACTCGTCCCTCCGCCGGGGTGTCTATCGACGCGACAGTAGGGAATGAGGAGCCCGCTCCGTACGGATCTCGAACCGAAAATGTCACGTCTACCCTGAGAGTTCGGACTCTTGAACTACACGAGCACTCACCTCAATTGCGGATGGTCCATTCACTCCGACCCCGTGGTCTCCGTTCTGGACCACAATGGGGTCTCCAGCGGTCATCGTTGTGACGATGCAATCACACGGCACTGTATAACGTGTCCATAAACGCTTCCTTTGAGCTCAACGCTGAAGCGTTTCCGATAAAATGGCGGTGAAACTATAACTTTAAAACTTGCACCGAAACGCCGACAGAGGCAATGTTACAGAGCTAGCTCTGATCTGTCGGCTCCGAAGCAAAAGCTGGCCGTGTTGGCGAGAGGAGGCGCCCGTCTGCCGATCCGCCCGAGTGTTCCTTTACTACTACTCTGAGCTCAGTCAGTCAGTCAGTCACACTGGGGACTCGGAGAGTGCCCCAGAACGAGCGCCATACGGATCGAGGCTGCGATCCATTCGTCGACTACAATGCCCTTGTGACGAAAGAATACCCGGCTCCCATAGAATTTCAGGGGTTCGTAGTATACCCCAGTGACAGTTCGGTTTCGTATCCTCGCCACAGAGGGCAGCACCTGCCATGGGCGTGTACTCCTCGCGGCTTCTGCTGCGCCTGCCGCAGCGGCGAAATTTTCTCCGTGTTGCTCACATGTAGTTACCGGACTTGTGGTTGTTGCTCTTGTGGCAGCAGCAACAGCGGGTCTGAGAACTCTCTCCTCTCGCTCGATTTTGCCAGACCGGGCCCAGAAAATATCGGATGCTCCACCATCATTACCACCGACACCAGTGGAACCTCATCCACGGCTGATGGAGGCTCGTATCAGACTCCGACTGGGGAGACCAGCTGTCGCTCGGCTGACTAACAGTAAACTCGGTCGCACGCAACTGAATCCCACATTTCAAATCACCATTTAGTCGCAGAGTCATCCCTATGAATATGCATAGAATGTTCGAAACGAGAAAACGGCTGTCGACGCAGTCGACAGTTCGACAGCAAGCTTCCTGGAAGGTTGACAATGGCGCATTCGCCTCCATCCGTCCTTAACTAATCCTTATCTCGGTTTTCGGCTCATTGATTTTCCTCGATAGATCAAGCTCCATGACATGGATTCGTGGTCAGGATTGGGAGGACAGACCTCACGAATCACGAAGTCCCGAATAGTGAAACCCTGTCAGAGAGCTCGGCGTCCGCGCAGACGCACCTTTCTCCAACATCGCAAAGCTCCGCGGTTCGCTTATCACTGATCAGAGACGGACCATTATCTTCCTTACGCTGTCCTGACAAGACAAGACCTTGACGGCGGGTCGAAAAATGCTCTCGCGATAACCCGGGACCGAAGTCCCAAGGGGCGACAGCTCAGCAACGAAATTCTATGAACATCTTCGAGGAGCATCAAATGGAAATATTTTCGGGGGAGCGGCCGAGAATACACGGCTAGGGATAGTTTTCGGAGCGAAGTATTGCGAATTGGAAACTCGGGGACTAGAAACGGTTGCCTCGATCAATCCGCATCTCGTTAGTGATACTCCACTCGAGTACCCCGAAAAGACGTTCCGCTTGAAAGGAGGATTGCCGTGGTTCAAGGAGGCATTCTCGAGTAACACGTCAGAGAGGCGAAGGTACGAGTCCGGCGCGATTTCTTTGCGGAGAGCATCGGTACAGAGCTTTCGTGGGCAGAGGGCAAGGGAATCTCAGATGATCTCTCTAGAAATTGACCAGATTCGAGAGGTCAGGCATTTATTGAATTCTCCAAGGGAGCACGTCGGTTATCTGGAGTTCCCCCAGGACCCGGGAAAAGTAATGGTAGCGGGGAATCCACGGAGCCGTGTGGCGCCGAGCGGCTGCGCCCTCGACCTATTGGTAAACAAGCTTCGTCGTCTGCTAGCAGTTGTCCTGGTGCTTCGGGAGAACGAAAGACGACAAACACCGTTCGGTCGGTCGACAGCGGGACCGGTTGGAGCTTTGGAGCGGTGTTTCAGTTGCCGCTCGCTTGACAACAAGAGGGCATGGTCGTCTGACTGAGCGGTTATCAAACAAACGCTCTATAGGCATCAAGTGTTACGTCAATTCCCGGCATGCGCTGAGCACCTCCCTCTCATCCAACACTATTCCACTCGCCAGCTCGTTCGATAGCTCGCCGTTTAGAAGGATGGAATCCCTAATGGAATATGGCGAGTATATCTACTCTGTGCCCTCAAAATTCGCTTTCGAGCTGTCACTTGTCGCATTCGCGGTGTGGATGTGGAAGAAAAATCTCGCGGAGTCGAACTCGACGCGCAAGATGACGGACCAAGAAAAAGCTCAAATACTCGCGAATTTCACGCCGGAACCCTTATGCGACGATATACCTGAAGACCACTATGCCCTCAACCCGAGGATCGTTTCGGGTCGCATCGGTAAAAGAATCACCGTCAACGGTAAGGACTGCCTGAACATGGCCACAAATAATTTCCTCGGCCTCTCCGATCGACCGGATTCGAACGAGAAAGCCACCAAAGCGCTGAGAAACTACGGCGTGGGTTCTTGCGGACCGAGAGGCTTCTACGGGACCGCTGACGTTCATCTCGAGCTGGAATCGCGTCTCGCCAAGTTCATGGGCGTCGAGGAAGCGTGTCTCTACTCGTACGGATTCTCCGCGATCTCGAGTGCCATACCGTCTTATTCGAAGAACCACGATGTGATCTTCGCCGACGAACAAGTTAATTTCGCCATACAGCAGGGTATAACTGGCTCGAGAAGCACGGTCTACTACTTCAAACACAACGATCCGAACGACCTGGAGCGTCTACTGAGAGCTCAGGACGAACGCGATCGGAAGGATCCGAAGAAAGCGAAGAATGTTCGACGGTTCCTCATCATCGAGGGTATCTACATGAACACGGGGACCCTGGTCAACCTTCGGGAAATCGTGAAACTCAGAGCAAAGTATAAATGCCGCCTGTTCTTAGACGAGACCATTTCTTTTGGTGTTTTGGGCGCAACAGGAAAAGGTGTCCGGGAGCACTTCGGAGTGCCAAACTCGGAAATCGATCTTATCGCCTCGACGCTCGAGCATTCAATCTCGAGTTATGGCGGCTTTCTGTGTGGATCTTCGTTCCTGATGGAGCATCAGCGCTTGTGCGGTTTAGCCTATTGTTTCTCAGCCTCACTGCCGCCGCTGCAAGCCGTTGTGACCTTGACGCACCTAGATGTGGTGAGCGAGGACCCGGAGATCATGGAGAAACTTCGGGAAAACTGCAAGAAAATGCAGAACATGCTCATGGAGGGCCTGACCCATCTCAGAACGGATAGCCACCCATTGTCGCCGGTGAAAGTCCTCGTTTTGTCTGAGGCTGAAGACCGCGTTGTAGCTGAAGAGAAGTTGAATGCAATTGTGACCTTCGCGGAGAACCACGGGGTCGCCCTGACGGTTTTCCGGCGGCTTCCGAAAGAAGAGCTCCTCGAGCATCCTCCTTCGATCAAACTGACTGTCAGCAGCTTGCTCACTGAATCTGATATGAAGTCTGTCGTTGAAGTGCTGAACGAAGCTTGTTCGCAACTGTGAAACTATGTTGGACTAGGGACGAAAAAGTTGATAGGAGGCAGCGGCAATATTAACTTATGAATCGAATAATGTCCTTCTCGTAGCTTTCATCAGTTTTGTTCACGAAAGAAAAGGACACAGCTGCCGTCGCCCGTGCCTGTAGAGATGAGTGGTGTTCTCTGGTAGGTACACAGATGACGTCAAAAATGCAAAACACGATTTCCGAGGCTCGCGACGTTCCTTCGGTGCTCGAACTCAACTTGTGGATCATCTTCCCGTGATTGTCTACTCATTCAGCATCGAACTCAGTTCTTTGTCGGCGGTAGTTGAGAATTCAGAGCGAATGGAGAATTGTGGGGAGCGACAGGTTATTGCAAGCTATTTCTTGATTTCCATGCAGCTTGCCAGGTTGCCAGACGATTAATCAAAATAAAGAAGTTTCAATTATTTTGAGTGAAACGAATTCGGTTACCATCAATGATTGGTGCAGGTGTTGATAGACCGAGACCGGACAAGTCGTTGCTGGACGATTCGATGCCGAGACTATCAACACTGGATGACTTCTCCAGGAGCCTCAGGTCTGGGTATACAAGCCCGAGGAACTCGATTGGTAAATTGTGAATCTGGCGATCCGGATGCCGGCCACCGGAAACTCGGGTCGTCACCCAGCAGGGAGAGCTTGCATAGATTCGCAGGCTTCAGCTTGACAATGTTCATGTCAGTGACGTCAATCGATCCTCTTGGTGTTACACTTCCTCAGGGAGCTCGCGCGCGCTGGGAAGACCAGCATATCTCAATATTGAGAGAGGCAGCGACGGCTGACCGAGATCAATCTGTTGACTGCATTACTACAGCTGATTGAGAGATGTGAGCTGACTGAATTCATTCCTGGCGAAGTTTTCAGCCATGATAGTACCATTTTCCGTCGGTTCTCTTCACAGTCGAAGAGGAGCACTGGGTTTTGAGCGTCTCTCTACACAGAAAAACCAATGCAAGGATGACTTGGCTGAAATTGAAAGTTGCGTGGGAGGCGAGACTCCTCTGGCTTGTTGTGACACATCGATACTTCCCAGATCTTGAGTCCTCATCGGCTGCTGAAAGGCGCTTTCTTTGTTTTTCCGGGGCAGGGTGCTATCCAGCTCATTTTAGAAGTTGTGTTGAACATCGCGTACCGAATCATAAAAAACAAGAAAAATATCCTCCAAATTGCCCTTCTTCTCGATTGAAAGCTTTTCGAGCCCCCCTGTGGCAATCCCTGGATTACGTCCTTCCCTCTGTCACAAGCGATGCGTCAGGAAGACTCTTATTTCTCCGTCGCCCTGACGACAATTGGTTGTGGGTTGTGGCGAATGCTTGACACCCGATGAAAAAAGCATGACTGAAGCGCGATTCCGAACTGATGAGTGTTGCGAAAAACATTTGAAGACTGTAATGCGTCTTTTCTTCAATGTCAAGGATGTGGAAGACTTTAAAGCAAATGTTGTTCCTACAGCGGACACGACAGAAGACAATATAGCGATCGATCTTTACACGGGCTTCGGTGTGGAGCATGGTTTAAGGGAAGCAACTGGAAAAGTCTATCGTAGGTCGATTAAGGATACAGAAGGTTTGACTTACAAGATCAAATTGACCCCGGAATTCCCGAATATTTCGACCACGAACGTAGATGTTGGAGACGGTCTCGCCTATGGCGCGATAGGAACTCTTCGAAACATCGAATGCCTTGCAGGCGCTCATGATGGAACACAACTGAAACTTGTGCGAGTTGAATATGTGAGCGAGGAAATTGGCCGTCATTCACGACTGAAGTACCGAGCACACGTCCGAAGCAAAGCTAACCTACTCAGCGAACGATGGGTGCCGACTGAATTACGCATGGCACGCAACAAGGGAAACTGTTCACAATTGTCCTCAGAGACGCATCTACGGAAATCAATGTCATCGTGTCCGAGGATCTTGCAGACGAACTCTTCGAGTGGATGGAAGCTTCGGATGATCATCCAAAAGTGAAACAGTGTAAACGCGCACCGCGGTGGCACTGTCCCGCAACTTCGAGGAGCCGCGCCGCCCCCCTCTATATTCTTATGAGAGTCGCTTTTCGTCCTCGAATCTTGTGGGGACCGAGGAATGTCAGGCATTCCGCTGAGCGAGCCTCCATCCATTTGTAGTGGTATGGAAATGGATCGATAGTGATGTGGATTCGGAGCTCTAGGCCTGCGCAGACACTATCCGCCAGCCTATCCATCAATTCATCAAGACTTCATGCATTGGCGAATAATGATTTAGTAATTATTTATGCGCGAAGTATAAAACGGATATAATGGAGCGTCCATCGAAGGATATAATGGAACGCCCGTTGGGGCTCTATCCATGAAAATCTGTGTGTATATACGTGAAACAGGGGCGATATCGTCGATCGAATGGGAACTTTGGTATGGAGGAACTTCCTATAAAATTTTGCCTCGGATCCATCGATTTCTCCGTGCATTCGAAGGAGAGCTCGGGTTCTCCCAATCTCCCAAATTCCTAGATTATTGAAGTTCCTCTTTCTCGTCCATTCTCGAGCTCCGGAATCCTGTACCGAGCTATTCCGAATCGGGAATAGCGCTGGACGATGGATGCAGATGGCTTGCGTCGGGAGATGATCCTCCAACGAACGCGGAAGGTCAGCTCCTCGATATCGACGGCGCGGCGACTCCGGCATTCCCCTCGCAATGCTTGGGCGGCTTCGGGGTAAGCTGACAGAATGTATGGCGAGATATAGAGATATCAAGGAAGTGGATACTATCACCATCAAAGATCGTTTGGGTGAGAGTATAACTCACGGTTCTCCTCCCCATGCTCGGCTGATACTGATCGGGCTTCCCCATGCTCGGCTGATACTGATCGGGCTTCCCCATGCTCGGCTGATACTGATCGGGCTTGCCCATGAACTTCGAGTTCTGGAATCCAGGAAACGGCCTGTCGTCATGGGACGTAACCGATGCGGCAGCCGACAGCCGAGAACTATTGCCCCCCTGAGAATAATGAAAACAAGATCCGAACATCAAGACTTCACATACCTCGCAGAAAACGAGCCTTGATCATGAGGCAATTTCTTACGATCCCTCAAGGTACGGAAGCGGATGCATCAGTGCAGGGCAGAGTCCGATATTCAAGCTCTGCACATCCCCTTCTATTGGGTCAAAAGCCACCTACCAAGCTCTTGCTTGCGTCGAGGCACGGGACCTTGCGATGGCGAAATCCATCAAGTTTCCCGGATCTAATTTCCAGATTTCCGATTCCCGTGTAAGCTCGACGACTTCGCGGCCTGACGAGAACCGAGATGAGGAAAGGCAAACCTGAGGAGGCGAGAAGAGGAGATACGTTTGCGGATCCTATGTTGAGTCGAAAATGAAGAGGGGAAGCTTCCCCAGTGTTTTCCTAAAGCACTGCGAGAACGCTACTCGTCTATGTGTCGCACATGGAGACTGTATTATACCGTCGGCGCAGCGTCGAAGCTATTGCGATAAGGCTGATGGGGGAGCGATTATTCGGCGTCCATTATGCGTATAATGTTCTTCTAGTCCTCCGTTCCTCAGGCAGGATCGGATAAAAAATCAAACTAGGGGAGAGCGATAAGATCCCACAAAACTTGCTCCGGACTCCGGACTTCGGCGCTTTTTGTGTACATCCGCGGCAGATCAGGGAGCTGAGCTCTCACTTATGCCGAAAAGAACTGCACTTGGGAATGCAGCTTGAGCTCTACCCTAAACTCAAAAACCTAATGCGTAGATTTACTGCTCTGCCGGGTCTCCCTCACCGATTCCGACTCGATGAAGCTCTCGGGAATCTCAAAAATCCCTCGGAGACGGTTGAGCTGATTAGACTCATTCTGCCCAACTTGCTCCTTTGGAGGAAGTGATAGCGACTCGGCTTCTCGTCTGCCCTCGGAGTCTATCCCGGTGAGCGCGTTCGTTTTCTGAGCTTACTCACGGAGTATCCCATACATATATCTCCCACTGAAGTGATGAAGGCTTGTCGCGGAATCGCTGTGATTGTTCAATCACTTTATGATCCTGGGAGCTATTTTCCGCGCTGAGTGTGCCGAGGCCGGCAATGACTCAAAACTCTCTCATCCACTGTACGACATCTTGCGGTTTGGAGGGTGTGTAATTCATTTTTACTGCGTTTGGTCGAGCTAAATATTTGATGGAAGATTAGAAGCGCCGCGCCCAGTGAACTTCTTTTCTCTGTTCTCAACCTATAGGAGATTCAGGTCAATCTCGATTTTAGCGTTCGTCGGTTTGTGCCGCAGTTATTCGAATTCGTGGAGTTCGAGCGACATTCGAAACGCATCCGAAGGAAGCCGGTGCACAACTAACGTGATGATCGCAGGATTCGTTCGACTTGACCGTCCAATCGCTCATGATATTCTGCTCTGTCTCAAGTAAGCCTTGATTGGAGGATAATTTGGGGTCTGAATCGGATCGATTCTCTCGAGAGGGACCTCATTCTACTCAGGGATCTCCTGAAGACTGCCGTCACCGCGGGTGTAAGAGTGTAGTCAGCTCGATGGGATGCTGCCAGAGCTACGACCTCCAGAGGCCAAGCAAAACCGGCCGCGAAGATGTCGGACCCCAATTTTTCGAAGTCGATCTCGGAGTCGACGGACTTTTCGAGCGAACCATAAGTGAGGAATGTTCCCGTACCAGAGGAAGCGTTACGCTGACTTCCCTGCGGCAGCTTGACCCGAAAGCCCTGACAGGATCCCAAGCGAATCATCCAGATGAGCCATTAACCGGGTGAGTCGATCCCCAGGTGATCGAAAGTTCGAAGAGCATGTTTGTTTCCTTCTTTTCGAACCCGAACGTATCTGTCACCTCTGAATCGGAGTTCTTTCGCAGAAAATCCCAAAATGACAATTCCACGGCAGCCTGAGCACTTCTCGAGGATTCGGATCTTGATTTAAACTGATCAGTGACTTCGGAACTTCCTTCAAACCCCTATCTGATACGACCAAGGAAGCCCCTGGATTGGAGGCTGATGAATATTAATAAAACTCTCTTTATTCTTCTAATGTTCAGGGAAATTACTGGCCCGCGAGCACCCATTGAAGCAACGATGGTACCTCAGACTTCAATGACTTGAATTCGGACATGGCAGATGCCTTACCTTCTGAGAACCCCGTTCAAATATAGCATATAGCCAAGCTATCGATCTGCCGCAAGAATCGTGTCGAGAAACCTTCCGAGGTTCTTTTATAAACAAGACTGTTCTAAATGAATTCCAGCTTAGGTATTCGCGCTGCGGTATCTTTCCCGGAGATGGCTCGAGAGGGAACCATGGAAGATCAATCAGGAATACGCCGACGACAGCAGACGAGAAGCGTGTACATACACACGGGAGAAAAGTCTGAAACGAATGCCTTCGCTGCTCGGGATCGAAAGTCGCCAAGCGGGGAACTTCGTT